CATATTTTTTACTACCTTTAAAGTTATATATTTTAATGCAGATAACATTAAAATCATCCAACAAGCGCATAAAAGTATGCCATATCAAAATCCGAGTTCATTTGACCAAGTTATGGGCTTTAAAGATGGGAAGAAGGCCCATTTCAGTACCCCTTTGCAAAATTAAATCAATCACATAAAAACGGTCATATTTTTTACTACCTTTAAAGTTATATATTTTAATGCAGATAACAACATAATCATTCCACAAGCCCATAGAGGTATGCCATATCGAAACCCGAGTCCTTTTGACCAGGTTATAGGCTTTTAAAGATGGAAAAAAAGCCCATTTCAGTAAACCTTTAAAGTTAAATATTTTAATGCAGATAACAACATAATCATTCCACAAGCCCATAGAGGTATGCCATATCGAAACCCGAGTCCTTTTGACCAGGTTATAGGCTTTTAAAGATGGAAAGAAGGCCCATTTCAGTAAACCATTGCAAAATTAAAATCAATCACATAAAAACGGTCATATTTTTTACTACCTTTAAAGTTATATATTTTAATGCAGATAACAATATAACCATTCCACAAGCCTATAAAGGTATGCCATATCGAAACCCGAGTTCATTTGACCAAGTTATGGGCTTTTAAAGATGGAAAGAAGGCCCATTTCAGTAAACCTTCGCAGAATTAAAATCAATGACATAAAAACGGTCATATTTTTTACTACCTTTAAAGTTATATATTTTAATGCAGATAACAACATAATCATTCCACAAGCCCATAGAGGTATGCCATATCGAAATCCGTGTTCATTTGACCAAGTTATGGGCTTTTAAAGATTGAAAGAAGGCCCATTTCTGTAAACCTTCGCAAAATAAAAATCAATGACATAAAAACTGTCATATTTTTTACTACTTAAAGTTATATATTTTAATGCAGATAACAACATAATCATTCCACAAGCCTATAAAGGTATGCCATATCGAAATCCGAGTTCATTTGACCAAGTTATGGGCTTTTAAAGATGGAAAGAAGACCCATTTCTGTAAACCTTCGCAAAATAAAAATCAATGACATAAAAACGGTCATATTTTTTACTACCTTTAAAGTTATATATTTTAATGCAGCTAACAACAAAATCATTCCACAAGCCCCTAAAGGTATGCCATATCGAGATCCGAGCTCATTTGACCAAGCTATGGGCTTTTAAAGATGGAAGGCCCATTTCAGTAAACCTTCGCAAAATTAAAATCAATGACATAAAAACGGTCATATTATTTACTACTCTTAAAGTTAAATATTTTAATGCAGATAACAACAAAATCATTCCACATGCCCCTAAAGGTATGCCATATCGAGATCCGAGTTCATTTGACCAAGTTATGGGCTTTTAAAGATGGAAGGCCCATTTCAGTAAACCTTCGCAAAATTAAAATCAAGACATAAAAACGGTCATATTTTTTACTACCTTTAAAGAGATATATTTTAATACAGATAACAACATAATCATTCCACAAGCCCATAAAGGTATGCCATATCGAAATCCGAGTTCATTTGACCAAGTTATTAAAAGATGGAAAGAAGGCCAATTTCAGTTAACCTTCGCAAAATTAAAATCAAGACATAAAAACGGTCATATTTTTTACTACCTTTAAAGAAATAAAATTTAATGCAGATAACAACATAATCATTCCACAAGCCCATAAAGGTATGGCATATCGAAATCCGAGTTCATTTGACCAAGTTATGGGCTTTTAAAGATGGAAAGAAGGCCCATTTCAGTAAACCTTCGCAAAATTAAAATCAATGACATAAAAACGCTCATATTTTTTACTACCTTTAAAGTTATATATTTTAATGCAGATAACAACATAATCACTCCACAAGCCCATAAAGTATGCCATATCGAAATCCGAGTTCATTTGACCAAGTTAAGGGCTTTTAAAGATGGAAAGAAGGGCCATTTCTGTAAACCTTTCGCAAAATAAAAATCAATGAGATAAAAACTGTCATATTTTTTACTACCTTTGAAGTTATATATTTTAATGCAGATAACAACATAATCATTCCACAAGCCTATAAAGGTATGCCATATCGAAATCCGAGTTCATTTTACCAAGTTATGGGCTTTTAAAGATGGAAAGAAGGCCCATTTCAGTAAACCTTCGCAAAATTAAAATCAATGACATAAAAGCGGTCATATTTTTTACTACCTTGAAAGTTATATATTTTAATGCAGATAACAACATAATCATTCCATGTCGAAATCCGAGTTCATTTGACCAAGTTATGGGCTTTTAAAGTTGGAAAGAAGGCCCATTTCTGTAAACCTTCGCAAAATAAAAATCAATGACATAAAAACGGTCATATTTTTTACTACCTTTGTAGCGTGTAACGTTCGACTGAAGTGTTTTGAATCGAAGGATCTGTACTTGCGGGGCACGCTATAGGTTCCGGCACTAACTCGTCGGCTTTGGGGGTGTTGTTCTTGCTTTATACCGACCCTGACACTATCTACACATTATTATTAACAGACTAAGAATTGAGCGTGCTTGCGACAAAATTATAAGTTAGTTTACTAAACCGGAAGAAATATAAATAAATTCGGAAAGAATTAGAATTTAAAGACTCAAGAAAAGAAAATAAAGAGAGAAATCTTAATGCAGCGAAGACACGGATGTTATTGTGCTCGCATGTTGCCCACCCTACCTATGATCACCTGCCGCAAGAGCATGGCTCTGGTGACCCCCTTTGTACCCTACGACCGAGAAAACATCAGCTGAGTTCAGTAAATTTTGGAATTTAAGCTTCCATTTTTATAATAAATTCAGGGAAAGAAAACATAATTAATAGTAGTTCAGTAATAGTAATTCAAGATAAAGTAATAGGTATAAAAATAGTAATAATGCTTAAACAATGGCATATAATCATAATTAAGAGAACATATAAAAGTTTAGAATTTCAATTCGTTTCAGGGTGAGCTACTAATTTAATTTGTTTGGTTTAATGTTAACTCTCTTTAAGTACTTAATATTTGTTAGATAATATTTTCGTTAATTTAATGCTTCATTAGATTCGGGATTCATTTATTATTATTGCTGGCCGTTCGAATAAAAGTCTGGTTTAGTTTTCAAAAGATAAAGGTGGATATAGGAAATACACGTTTAGTTTTCAAACTCACGTCAACTTTTCCATCGGCGAAAGATCGATCTCCCGACGCAGGTGTGCTGGAAAAAGATTATGGCGTTTTGCACCATAGTGTTAAAGTGACCTAAGAATATATTTTGACAACAATTTAAAAAGGAAACTTCTTGCTATTGTATCCCGATTCTTTAGAGGCGCAAAATTGTCATTTAAGTTTAGGTAGTATCTACTATAAACTAATTAAGATTCGCTCCATATATTTATACCCGTTACTCGTAGAGTAAAAGGGTATACTAGATTCGTCGGAAAGTATGTAACAGGCAGAAGGAAGCGTTTCCGACCCCATAAAGTATATATATTCTTGATCAGGATCACTAGCCGAGTCGATCTAGCCAGTCTGTCCGTCTGTCCGTCTGTCTGTCCGGATGAACGCTGAGATCTCGGAAACTATGAGAGCTAGGCTATTGAGATTTGGCGTACAGATTCCTGACCTTCTTACGCAGCGCAAGTTTGTTTCAGTAGACTGCCACGCCCACTCTAACGCCCACAAACCTCCCAAGAAAAAAAGCTATGACGTCAGAGCCAGACAATGCGAAATGTTTTTACGCGTGTATGTGTGTGTATGTAAATAGTTGCCGGCCGAACTTAGCGGCAAAGAAAAAAGCACTGCCGGCGCTCAGAGAGAGCATAGTGCGCGGCTAACTTATTCTATTGCTTCTTACGCAGCGCAAGTTTGATTCAGCAATGTGCCACGCCCACTCTAACGCCCACAAACCGGCCAAGCCTGTGGCGCCCACAATTTTCATGCTAGATTAAAAATTTTAACTGAAATGTGTTGTTCTCGTCAGTACCTATTGAAAAAAGTTTGCCACGCCCACTCTAACGCCCACAACGCTTAAATCTGTCTACCGCCGATAGGTGGCGCATATATTTCTGCTTGCATATCTCCATTTCCCTTTGGTCCCATTATCTGAGTAACGGGTATCTGATAGTCGAGGTACTCGACTATAGCGTTCTTCCTTGTTTTTTTTTAAATTTTCCATAGATATTTTCCCCCAGGGGGTTCACTGTGGTTGCAGGTTAAATAGGCTCGCAATTGGGGCAAAAGATTGGGTTGATCGCCAGAGATAATACAAAGAAATAGCAAAGGGTTAAACCCCGTTAAAATGTGCGCCTATGTGCATTGGGGTAAGGCTGCTGCTGATGTGTATGTGCGGCCTAGAGATTTCCCGCGGTCTAGCTGCGTAAGTGTGCGCCAAAAGATTACACGTCCATGTGTATAAGTAGCGGCTCGTGAATGCGCGCATGTGCAAAAGGGCTAGCTGCGCATGCGTATTCGTTGGTGCCAGGTTAGGTACACATGGCGTTTATGGGGGTGCTCCACGGTGCAGGCGCCGGATTTCGGTGGTACAGGTTACGTACGCTTGTAGCTAGGGGTGCTCCTCGGTACATGCACGTGGGTTTTCGTTGGTGATACCTGGTTTACATGCTCCTCGTCTCGACGACTTTACATACTGCTAACTGGGCACAACCTGACGATTGGGGAACGGTTACAGTAAATACCTAATAAAATACACTATTCTCGAGCATATCTACACAGAGAAAAAAAACGGAACAATACCCGTTTGATATTGTCTCCTCAATTTTCACATATCAATTTTTTCATATCAAAATGATTCGAATTCATATCAATTTGATACGAAATCATATCAACTTCAAATGTTAATATGAATCCGTATCATAATGATATGAATACTTAGCAAGTTGATAGGATTTCATATCAAACGTAATATCGAAAAGTCTTCGAAAAAATAGTACGACTGTAAATTCGTCCTTTTTGTGTATATTCTGTGTACAACGGTATAATTACGCTTTGTATGCGGTGGTCCCACTTTTATTTACTGCGTCAATTTTAGTGTAAAACGTGACAAAAGAAAAGTTTAAGGTGTTTATAAATGTAATTACTTGGTAAGTATGTATAATTTTAACTAATTTACTTTATTTTTTGCATTAGTTTGACGAAGTACCATGGAGGATCCACTTTGCTTCAATTCCTTACGGACCACGAGGTCAATTTGGTTGTGCTTGACCTGCTTTTAGGTTTTTATAAATCAACATATGTGCACATATATATATATATATATATATATACATGTGTAAGCCATTATTAATTGAGACTTATTTTTGCAATATATTCCTAGAGTGTGGATACAACTACGAAAGGCTGCAGTACATTAGTGCTTCAGATCTTGATTTAATATTTTCCAAGAGAGAACATCTTGGTCTGAAATCCGAGTTCCGCGAGAAGCTCCAAAAATGGAAGCGAGCACAAGTAAGTTTAATTTTTAATATTTTCATAACAGGTTGTAATAATTTCAAATTTTAGCACATTGATGTCTGCGCAGGGGATACGACACCAACATATAAAGAAAAGGTGACATCACAACAAAATAATTTTTTGTGAGCAGCTTAAATGAGCATCACCAATTTTATGAAATTGGCTCACTTGTAAATAATACTAAGATAATACATATTAACGAATTTGAAGGCCCACCAATTCATGTATATTACACACCAACTGGTCTTAAAATGATAAGAAGAAAAATATTTTAGTTTATTTAATTATGATAAGTAATTTTAGGTTACAATTATTTTTTATATGTAACATAAGACTTTGAATGAAAATAAATTTTAAATAAAACTAAAAATTTGTTTCTCTCAATAAAATTATTTTAAAATAAAGCTGGGTATGAGTTAAGTGTCGAATTGATTTGACAAAATATCAGTTTGATATTGAAGCATATCAGTTTGATGTGAAAGCATATCAGTTTGATATGAAAGCTTATCAGTTGGATATTAAAAAATACCACAATTTGGTCACAACTTTGATATGTGCTCATATCAATCTGGTATGAAAAATACCAAATTGACATGTTCGAAAATATCAATGTCATATGTTCGAAAATATGAATATGATATGGCAACATAAGGGATCAAAATTGATATGAAAAAATACCCGATTGATGACCAGTTTTGGTATTTTTTTTTCTCTGTGTACCTTACGATTGTGCCCCGAAAACGTTTTGGGGGTTTTAGGATTTTTTCCCGGGCCGTTGCCGGCAGAAATCTCGCCAATCCAACCAAAAAAAATAATATAACTTGCTGCTGGCCTGCTGGCCGGAACACACTCTCGTAGCCGGGACGACTCTAAGTTTTTCCTCTTCAGCTGCCTGAGACACGGACGGGGGTTAGACACAGAAAGAAAACCAATTCGCCGGGAAACTTACTCGATTTAAGCTTTGGCGGGTGTCTTTATTTAAATTTTTCACTATCAAATCGCAATACTTGCGAGATGCACGCGTACCCGAGTTAAAGTTTCGAACTTGTTTGGGACTGGGAACTTAATTTTTTTAGTGCACGTTCACTCCGCGACTGCTCGATTGAAAAGAAATAGAACGGAACCGGGTAATGTTGGTCTAGGCTGCCAGCGGAAATGCATCGCAGTCGGTAATCACGCCATGTTGGTAATTAAGCTTTCCAGAGCTCCCCTGGTGCAGCTGATCATGCCAGCCCTGGACAGTTGGTATTCCCAAAATAAAATACTAAGTAAGCTGGGTTTACTAACATCTGTGGTTTGAAACCAAGCATAACAGCGCTACCCTAGTACAGCTGATTACTATCGACACGGTTAGTTGTCATCTCAAAAAAATACTAAACCAGGCTTACTAATATTTGCGGTTTAAAACTAAGCTAAGCTCAAAAAAAAACCTTTAAAAAAAAGTCTTTTTCTGGGCCGAACTAAAAAAAAGAACAATTTCGGTGCTTCAGTCGCCGCTACACCTTTAAAGTTATATATTTTAATGCAGATAACAACAAAATCATTCCACAAGCCCCTAAAGGTATGCCATATCGAGATCCGAGTCCATTTGACCAAGTTATGGGCTTTTAAAGATGGAAGGCCCATTTCTGTAAACCTTCGCAAAATGAAAATCAAGACATAAAAACGGTCATATTTTTTACTACCTTTACAGTTAAATATTTTAATGTAGATAACAACAAAATCATTCCACAAGCTCCTAAAGAAATGCCATATCGAGATCCGAGTTCATTTGACCAAGTTATGGGCTTTTAAAGATGGAAGGCCCATTTCAGTAAACCTTCGCAAAATTAAAATCAAGACATAAAGACGGTCATATTTTTAACTACCTTTAAAGAGATATATTTTAATGCAGATAACAATAATCATTCCACAAGCCCATAAAGGTATGCCATGTCGAAATCCGAGTTCATTTGACCAAGTTATGGGCTTTTAAAGATGGAAAGAAGGTCAATTTCAGTTAACCTTCGCAAAATTAAAATCAAGACATACAAACGGTCATATTTTTTACTACCTTTAAAGTTATATATTTTAATGCAGATAACAACATAATCATTCCACAAGCCCATAAAGGTATGCCATATGGAAATCCGAGTTCATTTGACCAAGTTATGGGCTTTTAAAGATGGAAAAAAGCCCAATTTCAGTTAACCTTCGCAAAATTAAAATCAAGACATAAAAACGGTCATATTTTTTACCACCTTTAAATAAATATATTTTAATGCAGATAACAACATAATCATTCCACAAGCCCATAAAGGTATGCCATATCGAAATCCGAGTTCATTGGACCAAGTTATGGGCTTTTAAAGATGGAAAGAAGGCCAATTTCAGTTAACCTTCGAAAAATTAAAATCAAGACATAGAAACGGTCATATTTTTTACTACCTTTAAAGATATATATTTTAATGCAGATAACAACATAATCATTCCACAATCCCATAGAGGTATGCCATATCGAAATCCGAGTCATTTTGACCAAGTTATGGGCTTTTAAAGATGGAAAGAAGGCCCATTTCGGTAAACCTTCGCAAAATTGAAATCAATGACATAAAAACGGTCATATTTTTTATTACCATTAAAGTTATATATTTTAATGCATATAACAACATAATCATTCTACAAGTCTATAAAGGTATGCCATATCGAAATCCGAGTTCATTTGACAAAGTTATGGGCTTTTAAAGATGGAAATAAGGCCCATTTCAGTAAACCTTCGCAAAATTAAAATCAATGACATAAAAACGGTCATATTTTTTACGACCTTTAAAGTAATATATGTTAATGCTAAAAAAACATAATCATTCCACAAGCCCATAAAGGTATGCCATATCGAAATCCGAGTTCATTTCACCAAGTTATGGGCTTTAAAAGATGGAAAGAAGGCCAATTTCAGTTAACCTTCGAAAAATTAAAATCAAGACATAGAAACGGTCATATTTTTTACTACCTTTAAAAATATACATTTTAATGCAGATAACAACATAATCATTCCACAAGCCCCCAAAGGTATGCCATATCGAGATCCGAGTTCATTTGACCAAGTTATGGGCCATTTCAGAAAACCATCGCAAAATTAAAATCCATGACATAAAAACGGTCATATTTTTTACTACCTTTAAAGTTATATATTTTAATGCAGATAACAACATAATCATTTCACAAGCCTATAAAGGAATGCCATATCGAAATCCGAGTTCATTTGACCAAGTTATGGGCTTTTAAAGATGTAAGCCTTCGCAAAATTTAAATCAATGACATAAAAACGGTCATATTTTTTACTACCTTTAAAGTTATATATTTTAATGCAGATACCAACATAATCATTCCACAAGCCCATAGAGGTATGCCATATCGAAATCCGAGTTCATTTCCCCAAGTTATGGGCTTTTAAAGATGAAAAGAAGGCCTATTCCAGTTATTCTTCGCAAAATTAAAATCAAGACATAAAAACGGTCATATTTTTTACTACCTTCAAAGATATAGATTTTAATGCCGATAACAACATATCATTCCACAAGCCCATAAAGGTATGCCATATCAAAATCCGAGTTCATTTGGCCAAGTTATGGGCTTTTAAAGATGTAAACCTTCGCAAAATTAAAATCAATGACGTAAAAACGGTCATATTTTTTACTACCTTTAAAGTTATATATATTAATGCAGATACCAACATAATCATTCCACAAGCCCATAAAGGTAGGCCATATCAAGATCGGAATTCATATGGCCAAGCTATGTGCTTTTAAAAAATTTGCCTACTCTAGTAAGCCGTAGAATTACGCTTGGTACTATTTTTATGAATAATCTTATCAGAGGCGATATTCATTCTGTAGATTTGGTAAGCCGCCTAAGTTTCAATGTTCTTGTTAGACTAATGCGAAACTACCATCCTATTAACTTTCCACGATGTTCATCTAATTTTAGTCAGCATGAGCCTTTCGCGTTCTTTCTAATAATTATAACAACCTGTATCATTTAATTTGTTCCTCAACTTCTATCCCTGTACTAAAAACTAAAATCTTAGCTCATTTGCTTTAATCTTGTTGATCTATGTTTTGTCCTGTCTTTATTTGTTCTATGTACCTTCCTCACGAACCGTATTTGCCCGAAATAAAAATGGGCCCGCGCGTAACAAGCACGTGCTTGGTGTCGTTTGGGCCACTTGTTTGTACTGCTCTTAGTGCATCAACGTTCAACAATAATAAAGATGGAAAGAAGGCCCGTTTCAGTAAACCTTCGCAAAATTAAAATCCATGACATAAAAACGGTCATATTTTTACTACCTTTAAAGTTATATATTTTAATGCAGATAACAACATAATCATTTCACAAGCCTATAAAGGAATGCCATATCGAAATCCGAGTTCATTTGACCAAGATATGGGCTTTTAAAGATGTAAGCGTTCGCAAAATTTAAATCAATGACATAAAAACGGTCATATTTTTTACTACCTTTAAAGTTATATATTTTAATGCAGATACCAACATAATCATTCACAAGCCCATAAAGGTATGCCTTATCGAAATCCCAGTTCATTTGACCAAGTTATGGGCTTTTAAAGATGGAATGAAGGCCCATTTCAGTAAATCTTCGCAAAATTAAAATCTATGTCATAAAAACGGTCATGTTTTTTACTACCTTTAAAGTTATATATTTTAATGCAGATAACAACATAATCTAATGAAGCATTAAATTAACGAAAATATTATCCAACAAATATTAAGTACTTAAAGAGAATTAACTTGAATTTTAATTATAAATTTTATCAAAAAATATATTATTAATCCTAATTAAATTAAACCAAACAAATTAAATTAATATCTCACCCTGAAACGAATTGAAATTCTAAACTTTGAAACAACCGCCTTTATCTTACAAAAACCGTATATATATGCTCTCTTAATTAAGATTATATACCATTGTTTAAACATTATTACTATTTTTATACCTATTACTTTATCATGAATTACTATTACTGAACTACTGTTAATTATGTTTTCTTTCCTTGAATTTATTATAAAAATGGAAGCTTAAAATCCAAAATTTACTGAACTCCGCTGATGTTTTCT